TTTACCCTCAGCCGTAGAGGAGAGTTGCCTTTTTTGTTGCTTGTTCTCCATCCAGGGACTCCTAGAGGGGGCACCCACGCCGGAAGCAGGTCTGGCGACACCTGTTAGGGCGAAGGCCTCCTGCAACAACCTCGCCGCATCTGTGAGATCAGCCAAAACCTCCTCCTCGGGGATGCTAACAAAGCCGTGCGGAAGACCTAAATTCAATAAAAGGAAAAGTCAGCCAATTTTCTTATATGTGAGATAAGGAATAAGATAAGTTCGAGATTCAACTTGCCATGATTTTCTTCCACCCATATTTGAGGGCCAGTTCTTTCCACCGGCAGGTCTAAGGCGTGGTGACGTCCAAAATCTTCTGGACTCACTGGTCCAAGCCTTCAACCCTTGGTGGTATCCACCAAGTTGTTGTATTAATGAGAAGAGAAGGATCAGTAACGACACTAAGAGATCTTTAATCAAAGAAAAGACAGACGTTGAACTTACGTGTACGATTCCATAATTCGGGAAAGGATGGAGTTGTGTCAGGGTTGATATTCCCAGTGGCAGCTTCAACAAATCGCTCCATCTAGCCATGGTCGTTATTGTCATCCATGCTGGTGAGCAAAGCATGCTAACCACGTTTGCTGAAGTTTATCATTCCCACACGGAAAATCTTGGGGGAATAGAGGTTCATCAATCGAGCCAGTAAGAGCTCCTCCCTCATCTCCTGGCATAACTGCCAAAGACAGGCTACCGTCTGCCACATAGAAGGGCTCACTTGTGCCAAGCAGAACTGATAACGGAAGCAAAACTCCAAGATTACCGAGTCAAGTCTCCGCTCAATGAAAACGGGCCCAAAGTGATAGGGTACGTGTAAACGTATGTAAAACCCCTTCTTAGAGAAGGTTACTCGCTTCACTAGATCGAGAGCGATGATGTTCAAATCATGGCAACCACAGTCTTCCTTCACAGCAGGGATGTTAGACGGGCGGATGGAAGAAGGGTATACACCAACATCCTATATGCGAAAGTTAGTAGAAGGGAACTTCTCTTCGAAGTCCTTAGCCATAGTAAGTTTTTTGGGGATAATAGTTCTCACCGTATGAGGAGCAACATCATTAGTGCTTTCTTTGATCTTTTAAGAACTGGAGTTTTTGGAAGCGGAGACCATAGTTAGCAGAAGAAAGTAAGGATTTCTCTGAAGAAGGAAGTTAAAAACAAGAGTGAGTTGAGTAAAGAGAGTTTGAGAGAGTTCGAAAAATTATGAAGGGTAAAAGAAGAAGATTGAAGCGTATAAGAATAGGCGGCTAAAATCGTGGCAATGATTACCTCGAGAACTGGCGAAAGTATTATTGATTCGTGGGATGACGCGTGTTCGGGGCATTAAATGTGGAGAGACGTGCGTTTAATCAATTATCAGAAACTTTTCAGAGGGAGTCAGTAAATTTCCCGCCAAGAAAGGTATGTTTACCAACTTCCCGATAAAACAAAGATGTGCCACCAGAAAGTAGGGGGACTATTTTTATAGGGTAAAAGCGGTTCATATTAAATGCTCGTATAATAGAGCGACGCGTGGAACCAGAGACAGATGAAAAGCGGGACAGGTGGAAGTCAAGACTGGAGGCATCAGTCTCGGTTGGCACCGGAAAAGCCCAGGTGGGAATGTTGCTCATGAAGACAAATAAATGCATGTTACCCAATAACATTCAATGAAGAATATTCTATAGTATAGTCAAACCTCTTTATAACAGCCTCGTTTGTTTCGAATATTTCTGGATGTTATAGCGAAGTGTTGTTATAGAAAACATATATTATAACATAACATGAATTTGGTTCCGGAAAAGCTTGACTTTTATAGTGAAGTATTATTATATAGGGGTGTTGTTATAGAGAGGTCTGACTGTATTAAATACATAGTTTATTATAGAGAATATGTCATTCATAGCCCGCCATTACATGTTCATCAATGGTCCCCATAATTGTTATTTAAGAGGGGCTTGATCATAGAACCTTGTTCCCTAGGTGCTACTATAAATAGGGATTTCAAAAACCATTGTAGGAACACGAATTTTCTGACAAACTTATGCAATACACATTATTCTAAGCTTAATAACACTTTATTTCTTATTTATTGTTATTACTACTGTCTTCGGAAGCTCTGTTCTCGGAACCAGGCTATCTACCTCGATTTCAACACTAAGTCTTGTATTTCTATTTAATTTATTTATCATTTTGGGATCAAATCGATTTGCTTGTCTATAAAACACGTATAAATTCAACTGTTTCATTTTACGGGTAAACGATAGTATAAATTGAAGTATCTTCATACTAATTGCTCTCGGGCTCTCCTTCTTTTGATAATTGTAAGTATCTTCGATTTGGGACTCAGTGAATAATGTGTCTGCTTTTTCTAATCGTCGATCAAAATACTATAGCTTTCATCTATTGCAAAGTGGAATTGTGACGAGCGCTCTCATATATTATCACTACATCAAAGCCCCGATACATAAAACAAACGTCTTTTTTGAATTTTATTTCACAAGAACACAACAAAATTTCACATCCTAAAGAATTTTCCGGAAACTTTGGCTAAAGTCTTTGTAGAAAGTGTATTCTATTCACAAAAATCTTATTAGAGAAGATTCACTATATCATTTACTAAGATCCAAGCCATAAGGCTAAAGGAAACTGAAGTGTTGTTGAGCCTAAGTGAATCATGATGTAGCATAATTTAAATCAGTATGTGTGAAAAATTATTGCTCCACTATATCTAAGTAACAAATTATTGTGTATGATTAGTTTTTTATTTATTTATCTAGTACTAGCAAGTAAATAACCCAATAAATATGTTTGCTTGGGCGTTTATCCATAAACAAAACGTTAACGGAAAAAAACATAGCTGGCAGGAAATTCATTGAACATGATCCGAAGGACATTTCAGAGAAACAGCAATAAAACTCTACCGGACACCAAAGAGAAGCCTACAGCCCTAACGAGATCTTATCATCAAAATCTAAATATTGATGCTGAAGTAATCATGGTCAAGAGGATTCGGCCTCAAACTTCCTAGCACGATGATCAGTAGTTGTGATAATTGAAGCATTCTGACTGCCTTCCAAAACCACCTTGTCATCATAGAATTCAGCCTCAATTTTTCCAGCACGATGATCAGCAGTTGTGACGATAGAAGTATTTTGACTAACTCGCAAAGCCGCCTTAGTTGTATCCAGCGGCCGGGCACCTTTTTGCAGTGGCAACATATGACGACGACGAGATAACACTACGAATGATCTAGGATAAATAGTCACCCCTCCCCTATTCCTGTTTCCTGGAAGCCCAACAATTCCGACAGCATCTCCAAGCTTCAGACCAGAATGAAATTTAGTAAATTCGTATTGAGTCAACAGAGAGTCGCTAACATGTGACTTAACTTGAACGGTGGCGCCTTCATTCTCTAAATCATAGCAAAACAGCATTGCAGAAGCCACACGTTTGTTTATTATCCTTCCAGCCAACACCTCCTCTTGATCCCAAACATATTGCCGTGTCCCTACAACTCAGGGATGGTCAAAGTCACTTGGAACTTGTGTGGGTAATGATTTTCATTCAGATCCATGCCCTCATCATCGGTTGCAGAATGCTGCTGTGGTATCTCCATTTTTTTTTACTCCGATGAGAAAAAACCCTAATTGACGACACAAGAGTTTGTAAATTAAGGGAAAGGGAGAACTCCTAATATGTGAAACGACGTATGATTAGTTTAAAATTTTCGTAATTGGTTTAACCTAGGAACCTCATATTTTTTCTAAGTTAGAGATTATTATGCATAGATTAATAATAAAAAAATTATTATGTGATAATTAATCAAATGATTGTTATATAAATTTTACGGGTATTTTTAAGTAGTCTAATTTTCATATTACTTATACACATAATCTTATTTAAGAATACATAAATTTTTATCCAAACAAGCTTGGATGGTTGTTACGTATCGTTTCATAATGTATCGTATCGTACTGTTTGTATACTGTGTCGTTTGATAAATATAATGTTTGGATAGATTGTGTCGTTTGCCATCGTTTCATGATATCACGCACCAGCTATATGAAGAATAAACTTGCAATAATATAAAGAAAACTTATGATACTGCGTAACATTATTATTATATAAAAAGGTAGGGTAAATGATAAAATAAAATTATTTAATAATAATGAAGGGTGAGATTGAGAGAAAAAGACAAGGTGACGATGCGACCACACCTAATCGGTCGTTACATAAAATGACACATTTCGTCGTTATGTAATGACAGATTTAACGTTACGATACAATAAAATTTAATCAACAATCAAAACAAACATCGTATTTAAAGTAACAATACGATACAATGCAATGGGTAACAACCATCAATTATTATGTAATATCATTGACCAAACATTACATTAAGAATTGTCATCCATTTTCTTAAACTTTGATATGATTCTTGTATGTTCCTTTTCACCCTCCTCAAAGTTGATGATGTTGTCACTAGAATATTGTAATTCAGAAGCGAAATAATCAAGATAAAAAAAAAAATATTAAAATGACTATATAATACTCCCTCCGGTCCACAATAAGTGATTATTTTACCCTTTTTATTTTGGTCCAAAATAAGTGTCCATTTACATAGAAGGAATTAATTTTATTTTTTCAAAATTTGCCCTTATTTACATATTTCAATATGTCAAGGTAACAATTAATTAAGGTTAATTTAGTAAATATATCTTTTTTTTCTCAAAGAGTGTGTATTTCCTTAATGGGTGTGTCAAAGGTAAAATGGTACATGAGGGAGTATTCAATTCTTGTTTAAAACCCATTTATTTGAAGGTTAAAAGTGTTTAGTGAATATTACAGAAACTAAAATCGAAATAAATCAATAACTGAGGGACTAAAATTACAGTTTTCCCTTTTCATTATTTCTGCACTATCCCTTATCCAATAGAAAAAGTTTAAAACCGAAGAGATCCCAACATGCTATGGTAAACCTCATCCCAGGCCACCATGAATGCATTCGATCACATTCAGAAACGCGACAATAGGCGCGTGTTTGCTATCCTCTTCCCCACCCCGTCCATCCCTATCAACATCCTACTAAAGTTTTTAATACTATAAAGAAAGGGACCTACAAAGCGAAGCAAACAAGGAAAAGGTTACAGCACAAGAAAAGCTTTGAATCTCAGATACCTCTCCCCTTATCTATTTTCATGTCGTATGCAACTTCAAAACCCTATATCACTATCGCTAAATCCTAACTATCCGATCACAGAATCAGCTGAATTGTTATTTGAAGGTGCGACAGTAAAATGTCTGCGATTGTTTGCGGCAAGAGATCGTTCTTCGAAGATTTACAATCTCCGTCGCCGACTTCAGCATCGCCGCCTATTTCTAAGAAGCTCCGGTGTTCCTCGAGCTCTCCGATTCGACTGTCTTCTTCGCCGCCGCCGCCAATGCCGGCGGCAGTCATCGATCAGCTGAGAGCTTTGTTTCCTGATATGAACAGTCAGGTATCCGCCCCTCCTAGAAATTTGTTGTTGTAAATGTTCGTTAATTGGAGAAATGTTGTAGAACGTGCTAATATTCTTCTTTCTCCTTTTTTTTTGGGGGGTTTTTTATTTGGTTATTATAAGTAAATTATCTGGTATCGAAATGAAATGGTCCGAATGTAAGAGGATGAATATTATAGATGACTTGTCCTACCATCTCTAGCTAGTCTGAGATTCAGGTAGTTAATTGATTTTCGTTATTGTAAGTATTTCTCTGCGATAGTAAAGGATAAACCATTTTAAGTTACTTTTTGGGCCGGGTGGGGGGACTGGTTTTGCAGCTCTTTAAGCTCAAATGTCCAAGCCTGTCAATGAACGACTTTGGAGATGAACCAAAAACGTATCGTTATTTCATCATCTCATGTTATGTACACGAAATTCATTTCAGTTTGGGACATTTCAAAGTGTTTGATACTATTTCATTTCTAAACAACTTTCAAAGTACATTCAAATGTATGAAACTGTTCAACTTTTAAACTCAATGTAATGCTTGCTAGGCTACCTACATTACACTACACCCCATTGGGCAACGGCTCTTCCCGGATCCTGTGTGAACGCAGGATGCTCTGTGCACCGGGTTGTCTTTATCCTGGGTGGTCTTCTACTATAAGAATCTCGAAAGCTGTAATCAATTACTTACTTACACGGTGCAAAGATTCTAAATTTTTGTGTATTTCTGTGGAAATACATTGCTGTTGCTTTTGTTTGACAAGTTTCTGGGTACTTAGTGTTTTATTATCTACTGTTCAGCTTCTTGAGAAAGCCTTGGAGGAATGTGGCAATGATTTGGATGCTGCCATTACGAAACTGCATGGACTTCATGTTAGATATGCAGAAGGAAATTCAGTTACTGCTTCAGAAGCTGATGGAGAGATGGACGGTAGTATGTATAAACATTATGTTTCGATATTTTGAGTTTGCTGATTAAGGAGATACTAAGTTTTTTCTCATGTTTATTATTCCATACATCTCAAAATGATTCCTAATTTTGTGACGTTGGAGTGAATACATATGTACACAAATGTATTGGCTATCTTATTAATTGCATAGCGTTGCAAAATTGTGTGGAAAAAGTTCAACTACATCCCTTCCTGTCAGCCAAAGGGAGATTGTGGGATCAACTTAAGTACTCCTAAATAGGGTTTAGTTCTCAGTGACATGACAGTGGATTCTATTGTGTTTGCTGGTCATTGAAATAGACATTTTCTCCGGAATTTTCTGGCCCTGTCTGTTCCCACGATTGCTACTCATTTTAGTTACATACTGCTCCAGCATGCTATTTTAGGGTATAGAACCTCGTTGATATAAAAAAGAGTTGTATAAAAATTAACTAAATAACACAAATTGGAGTTATAATTAGGATACAAATTAGACTGTTATTTATTGCTTACTGTGGATAAATAAAAACTTTGTAATGGCTTGTGCATGAGGTTCAAAAAGAAAAAGCCTACTAAGTAACTATATGTATTGCTGATACATCGCAGTTAGAGCCATATGTCTGATGTTATAAGATAAGCATCCGATGGTGCAAAGAAATTTCAAGATATGTTCATGTGACTAGTTCTTTTAGAGGAACTCATACATGTGTCCACTTAGCAGTTCATTTGAATCTTGTGACCCACGTATATTTATCTGAATCTGTAGGAATTAGTGTAGAATGGAATGAAAGTATTTAGTATTCAGGTGCACACAACTCGGATGATATCAGGTGCACCTTCTACGTTGAAAACTTTGGCATCAGTCCTCTCTGATGAATTACAGGTTCTTGTTGATATACAAATGTCATGCCATTTCCCTTATTTCTAGTGAATCTTCATGGGATCAACTGAATGGTTGTTATATCTTAGAAGTAGATTAATCAAATACCTCATTAGCCAAGTCCAGATTTTCATAAATTGTAGAGGGACAGAGGTAAGGAATCTAATTTGCATGCAAAAATTTGCAGGTACAGAGCCCACTACTTATGTCCTAAATGATCTTCCGGCTGATGGTGCAGAATGGGTGGAGTTGTTTGTGAGGGAAATGATGAGTGCTACAAGCATAGATGATGCTAGGGCTCGCTCAACAAGAGTGTTGGAGAGCTTAGAGAAATCTATTTGTGCAGGTAGTGCAGAAGCAGCCCAAAATTTTCAAAAGGTTGGTATCGTATATATGTATATTGTAGTTCGTTGATTTTACCAGACAACAAATTTCCTGGCAAGGAATTGTGGGATGATATTTCACTTCTAGAAACTGCATCGGCGATATTCACATACTTTCTGGTGCATTTACTGATTGTGCTCAGAAGAGTTATGCTAGAAAACTGTTTTGGGAATGCCCATATTGTTGGCTCTCCAATGCATTCTAAGATTTCTTTGCTTTGTTTCATGAGCTTGCAGATACTCATGTTGCAACTTACCTTTTCAACATTCTAGTTTATTGACTTTTGCCTATCATTTTCTGATGTTCACCATGCCTTATATTTCCAGGAAAATATGATGCTGAAGGAGCAAATAGAAATGATTCTTCGAGACAATGCCATTCTCAAACGTGCAGTGGCAATCCAACATGAACGTCAAAAGGAGTACGATGATAGGAATGAGGAAGTACAGCATCTGAAGCAGTTGATTGTTCAATATCAAGAGGAATTGAGAACTCTTGAGGTAAAAGCTGGATCTTCATATATTAATTTTCTTGCTTTAACTCACTATACATGGAGATGTGTTCTATTTACAACCATAGCGAGACATCAGATTTTAATTTTATTTACTCCTGTATTTGCACCGTTGATGCAAGTTTGCTCGCTGTGCATGCGTATAGCCTAGTGTAATACGTAGTAACTATCATCCTGCTTCATATATAGACGTATTCAGGTTTCTCCAGTGTTAGACTTCCTGATTTCATTGTCATCATTGCAGGTCAACAATTATGCTTTGAAAATGCATTTGCAGCAGGCTCAGCAATGCAACTCTATCCCTGGACGCTTCCATCCAGACGTCTTCTAATATTGAGATGTTTTCAAACAAAGAAGATGCAACCTAGAAAGAGAGCAATCCGGTTGACATCTTGTTAGCTGTGACATAGGATGTCTGAATAAATTTCTATTATATCTGATGGTAGTCTCTCTGAGTTATAAGGTTATGTTGAGTTGAGCCGTCTGCTGTTGATGATCTCACACAGTAGCATGTACGGGGCATCATCTGGATAGTAAGGCCTAAAAAGGAGTTTCTTCGAATTATGTAACAAAGCTGTTTTACTGTCCAAATGAGTCACTTTTTTCTTGTGCAAATTCAATCATCTCATAGCCTCTTCATTCATTATGAATAGCATCAGTCCTCTGTACGATTTTATGTAATGATATGAATTATAAGTATATTACAACGTCTATAAGCAGTGGCGGACGTACGTGGTAGCAAGCGGGTTCAACTAAACCTGCTTTATCAAAAAATAATATTGTGTATATGTATAAATTACGATTAAAGTTGCGTAAATTTTGTATAAATATATTATTTGAACCCACTTGACATTTGAACCCACTTGACAACTACTATTTTACGACTAAAGTGATGTACTTCTAAAATTGAACTCGTCTGCACAAAATCTTGGGTCCGCCACTGTCTGTTAGTGTTTTAACCCCGTTTGGAGAGACTGCATTCTAGGTGACACGGGCGTGCAAAGTAGTAGTGCTATTTCACCTGCCAAACTTTGGATCACGCTCAGTTTTTAGTCATCCAAAGCTTGAAATCAGATTGTCAAAAGGGTACAAGTTTTACCTCTTCATGGTACTCTTGAATTTTTCCCTCTTTCAGTGCCAGGTTGATAAAATGTGCATCTTTTTAAACAATAGTCTTAATAGTTGTTATTGGTGCCGTAGACAATAAATTTGCGTCGAGAAAATAAAATCAAGACCGAAAATATCGCAACAATCGTAGTATTTTATTTCAAATATTTGAGTGTTACAATCTCTATGAATCCTCTGATTCTTCTTCTCAATAGTAAATAAATTCAATGGCCTTGGAGCTTGATCTTGAATCTATATTTGTTTCCACGAACGATGATCTTGTTCTTGAGCTTGAGCTTGATTGCTTGAACTTGACCTTGATTTGTTCTTCGTTCTTGAACTTGAACTTGATTTCTTCTTCGTTCTTGAACTTGAACTTGATTTCTTCTTCGTTCTTGAGCTTGAATTTGATTTCTTGAACTTGAAGCTTGAAACTTGTGGAGGAATTTGCAGCGTTTGATCCACGAGCTCTTTCTTGCTTCTTGTTATAACTTCTGGTGCCTTGTCTGAGTTATGAAGACCCCTATTTATAGTTGTGGAAAGGAAGAATTGTGATAAGAACAAACTCTTTCCGACCAATCATATTGAAGTGTGACATGGCCGCATTTGATTGGCCAGAACATGTCACTTGCACATGTGGCGCAATTTCATTGGCCTTTTAGTGTGACTTGGCATGCCTTGTCATTTTGACACGTGGCATGGTCCTATTGGCTCTTCCGTTTGACTTGGCGCGCCACGTCATTTGACATGTGGCACCAAATTGGGCCTCTAGGACGATGACATCTTGGGCCTAATGAATTGGGCTCATCACTTTAGCCTAATTAAACGGGCTAGCCCAATGGATTATGACTTATTTATTTAATCCATATATATTGGACTTATATAATTAATTCAATTATATTAGCCCATATATTTATTTGGACCAATATATCTCGAATTTAAAATATAGTCCAAATTATTTCATGGATTTAATTTTAATAAAATTTACATGCCTACAAATGCCCCCTACTTCAAGACTTGTCGAGGTGTAGACTCGTTGAAACCGAATCACGTCTGGAAGTACGAACTAATTTAGACATATTTCCATTTGCTGGTAGCTTGGATAAAAATATCAATTCTTTTCACAAACTCGAATCGTCTCCAAAGCTTAGGACAACTGGACCGTTCAATTTATTAAGTTTTACTTCTAAAGTAGCATTTTAATTCAGGAATACAACAAAATGGTTTCATTTGCCCATTGAAGTGGAACGTGCATGTCCTTTGACTATCACTTTCTTTGCAATTGAAATTGCATTGTGATCCATGACAAGTCAACCCAATCACACACTGTACTGAACTTTGGGCCTTCTAGTATCCATTTGGGTATATCTCATTAATTAATTCCATACCAAATATGAAGCACTTATGGATTAATTTCTAGGAGAAATCTAAAGAATCAAAGTTATGTGCACCTACTTTCACGTGAGTCATGTGCACCTCGGATTAGTGTACTAGAATCCCATTGGCAGTATAATAGCTTTGATAGCTTTGCTTGGCATGGCATAATTAAATCACCGCCTCATAGTAACCTTGCCCAAATAGGAGAATGATTCTTACAATATGGATCCTTTTTGGAGTTTGATTACAACCATCCCACATCGGTATTTATTTTCCCACAGCCACTTTGAAAAATCTATATAAACACCATATTCTCATATATTTTGAGTATCAATCAGCTATCGGCATCTTCAAGCTACTTTTGAGTTCGTTTCTTTAACGATCTTAAAGTGCTAGTATTTGAGGTAATTTTTTTTTCTTCTTTTCTTGTGCTTTTCTTGTTTTTTTTTTGTCCTTTTTTTTTCTTTTTGTAGGTCAAGTGAGAAAGATATGTTCTTGTTTAATAAGATTGTCACACCTCCTATTTCTTATTACACCCGCAAGGGCATAAAAGAGTTGTTCCACTTAAAGAACAATCGGAACAGGATTTATTATTAAGATTTCAGAGGCGCCACTTGGGAGATTCATGGCGTCCCAAGTCACCGATTGAATCCCGAACCGAGGAAACTATGACTGTTAACAGTCCGCGAACCAAAAATCCGAGTAAGGAATTCTGTTAACTCGGGAGAAGGTGTTAGGCATTCTCAGGTTCTGTGGTTCTAGCACGGTCGCTCAACCGCTTTTATTATTATATTTTTAAGAGAATTGCAACGTCGTGAAAACACGTCTCGAACCGCGTCACATAAATGCACCCGCGATTTTTGACACATTTCGACTTCATTGGGATTTGGATTTGGGTCACATAAATGTGCACCCGAGTTTAGGAAGGTAATATTATTAAATGCCGGGCCTAAAGCAACTAGCGTATTATTAACTTTGTGGGAGGCCATGAAATTCGCTAAATGGCTCGTCCCGAATTCTAAGGTTGAGTTAAAACCAGTTAAAGTGAGGGCCACGCAATTTGTGATTTTATTTGGGCTCAGCGCACCTCATTTATTTTAAAGGCCATCTTAAAAGATAAACTATTATTTTCTATTAGGATTATCTCTAAGAACTTAGTTAATTAGCATTACTAAATGAATATTATCGGAAATAGCCCAGGGGTAGTCTTCAGCACAGTGGCTTCAAAGCCAGCCCATGGAAAGGGAATTGGGTCAGCCCTGCTAACGTGAGTTATTTAGCATTTGGGCTTGTGATTGGCCCTTAGTGTTTTTGGGCTTGTGACTGGCCCCAACAATTATTTGGATCGCTATACCTTAAGTCCACAAATCTCAAGGCCATCTCAATGCCCAATTTCAACGGGGTTCCACTTCATGAACTGAACCTCGAACAATCATAAAGAAGCACAAATCATACCATACGAATTTGAATCAAAAAGCTAACTAACGAGGGATATTAGATGATCAATCAGATATTTGTGCATTGAGCAACTGAGTCTGCAACAAGTTAAACTCAGAGACCATTTGATATCTAAAATAAAGCTAAATTATGCATAAGATGTGATTACTGATTTTCGAATGAAACCATTGGACTGCTAAAGTAGAATGAATTGCGATTTCCAGTTCATTTACAATGCTTCAAATGCCAACTTCTAACCAAGTGTAACGCAATTGTCCAAGTCACAAACAGATGATAGACTATTATGACCTTAGAAACAATAACGTCCAATTTTCAATTACAAGGTGAAGATCCATGACCCTAGAAACAGTTTCAAATTCATGTATCTCTAATACTAAAATTAAACTAACGCAAAATGAAACTATATTCAAAGCTAATGAATAAATCGAGATCCAACAGTCCTAATTACACAAATAGGCTTAATCAATTCCAGAGAATACTCGTTCAAAATGAATTGTGCAACTAAGTATCAAAAAACTAGTAATGACTACAAGGAAAATCCAAGTGAAACAACAAGTATTTCTCTTCATCATTTGATTCTACAAATAGTTCATACATGTTGATTCAGACTTCCATATCACTTGAGTCATAGAGGTGTACCTGGAATCGGATCAGAAGAGGAGGAAAGAATTAGTAATGGCAGTCAACAAACAGCAGTTGCAACCAGCAGCCACAGAGGTAGTTTCAAACCCAAAACAACATCACAGATACCCAGGGATGAACTATAGGAGAACAACACCAAAAAAAATGACCAAAAATAACTTGATTGAATCCCAAACCCACTCGATGTCAAACCCAATAAACCTCTGAAGTTTCAGCAATCAGTACAAAGGAACATTTCAGCTATTTTTCTCTTTGAACTAAGCTAAGATTCAGAACAGTAGCTAAAAGTGCAATTGATCTATGAAAAACTCAATGCAACAGCATGTTCTGGAATTTTCTGTTGTTTTTGTTGGTTTTTTTTTTTTGGTTTTGAAGATTTTGGAATTTGAAATTCAAGTTTCAGGTTGAAACTTGTTGAACACCTTTTGGGGGAATTTTTGGAGGCTCCCAAAACTTGTGAAACAAGGCATGGGAATGCCATTTTATAGGCACAAAGAGGTGCAGCTTCAGATTTTTCGTTTTGCATATTAGTCCCTCACTTATTTTCAGTTTAGTCCCCTAATTATTAACTTGCTTCTCAAGTAAACAACCTAACTTTCTGAAAGTAGAACTAAAGTCCCATTTTAGAGGATTCTAGAGAATTCTAGTTTTAACTACATCATTCTTATGCATTTCTAAATACCTGAACTACCCCTGAACTTCCCTGAAACTACTGTGCTACCCCCTTTGTTCTACTGAAATTACTAACTATGATTAACTACTCCAATCCCTTTACCCGTGATTAACTAATACCTAGATGTTTCAGCAATCCAAACAAACAGCCAAAATAATTAACTACTGAAATAGTGGGAATTAAAACAATATACATATCTAGAATGATTTGCAGCCAAATTGGACTATCACCAACATTACCAAACAGATTTAATCAAAAATCAAATCAAGACTTAAACTAAAAGAAGAGATCAATAGGAATGAATTCATACTAAACCAAATCAGAAAAGGAGACAATGATAAACTAAATCTTATTCCTAACGAAGACAGACTGAGATGAATCAATAAACAATATCAGTACCTAATAAATCCTAATCTAACAAACTAAAATCTAAACAAACAAA